ATAAACTGAAGAGCATACAAAGTATACTGTTTAATAAGGTTTGACATATATGTACACCTGTAAAACACTGCAGTCAAGACAATAAACATTTGTTATCCCAAGGCGGCTCTACCTTTCTATGCTATTTCATTATAGATTTCTCTCATTATAGATTTGTTTATATTTTCTAGAGTCTTATATAGGTAGAATTAGAGTATATATAGAGTGGGTTCCCCAGAATTTGTGGAGGTTACCTAGAGCATCCGCAAATAGTGAAAAACTGTGAATTTCAGATACGGTTAGGAAAATGTCTATATGCCTATTTTTTATAGTTTAACCCCTGTATATGCTATGTTTCCTGCAATAATGTAATTTAATAAAAATATGTAATTGGGGCTGGGGATTTAGCTCAGTGGCAAAGAGCGCCTGCCTGGCAAGCACAAGGTCGTGAGTTCGGTTCCTGGTACCGGAGAAAAACCAAAAAAAAACCAAAAAAAAAAACAACAACAAAAAAAAAACAACAAAAAAAAAGTAATTAAAGCCTTAGAGGGTACAAGGTGTCTCAGCAGCATCTTGGGGATCTTAGGGCTTTAAGAAGAATAAAACTAAGCACACTTGAGATGGTGACACGAGGTATAGCACCCTGTTTTTATGAGAGGATGAGGTGCATCTTCAGGGGGTGGGTTAAGGGCAGGAGTTGGTCAACAGCGCAGAGGACTGAATAACGCTCTGGGATTGGCTACTTGCAACCCCCGCCCCTGCTGGAAAAAAAAATTGCAGTGAATATTTGCTGCTTACACGAAATTGCAGGGTTGTTCCTGAACAATGATTAGTTAGGTACTAAGGAAAAATCTGCAAAAGACTTCAACTTTGCAGGGGTATACTCTACTCATTTTACTCTAGTTTCTTCCCTTATCATAATTAAATTTGAGATTCATCAGTAGTTTACTCCTTTTATTTGCTGAATAATATGCCACTGTATGCTTATGAGTTTATATTTTGAAGGATATATGTGTTTTTGCCACTTTAGGGTTGTTACAGGTGTAGCGCAAGCTGGTGTATAGACCCCTTAGGTTTTTGGGGGGTACCAAATTTCTTTATTTGAAGGAATTAAAGAACTTGAGTAGGTGTTCTGGTACAGTTTATAGAAAAGGTAAAGGTAACCCCAGCATGCATGTGCTGCCTTAGTGATGTTAGCTCTTGTAGCTGTTCCCCAGGGTATGCTTGTCAAAGAGGTACTCTGCCATGCCGGACTAAGGGCCTCCCGTCTTGCGCAGGTTGGTCACATGGTCACCCAGCTCTTTGATAGCCTTCATGTGCTCGTCCAGGTAGTGAGTCTCGATGAAGTCACACAGGTGGGGGTCATTCTTATCAGTGGCCGGCTTGTGCAGCTCCAGGAATGACTGATTAACGCTCTTCTCCAAGTACAAGGCGCACTCCATCGCGTTCAGCCCGTTCTCCCAGTCATCACGGTCTGGTTTCTTGATAGCCTGAAGAAAGATCCGGGCACCGCGCTGGTTCTGCAGCTTCATCAGTTTCTCTGCATGCTCCCTCTCCTCGTGAGATTGGTGAAGAAAGTATTTGGCAAAGTTCTTCAAAGCCACATCATCGCGGTCAAAGTAGTAAGACATGGACAGGTAGACGTAGGAGGCTTTACATAAGCTATCAAAGTAGGATACAGACTTTATTAGTTTTGGAAACTGGAGACAGGAATTGGCATCAGCTCATTGGCAAAGGTGATGGTAATGAGTAAATGTTTCCTTCCAGAACATCTTTTTTGAATTATTAAAGTCTTAAATAATGTACAAGATAAACTTTGTAACAGAAATCTGTGTATACCATCATAGAAGTTAAAAAAGAATGTTTTTTATATTTCTTTATTAAGTTCTACTTGTGTTACATTAAAAAACATGAATCATTGGATTAAGGGTCTATGCTGTGTCAATATGACCTCATCTTAACTACATCGGCAATAACCCCATTTCCAAATAAGGTTTCATCCTGTAATTTAAATAAAAAGAAAAAAAAAGGAAAAGTAATTTGTGTATACCTGTGATGTCTCACATAGAATTAAGAAGAATATAATAGGACTTTAGAAACTCCTTGAAACAATATTTATCTCAGGCAGGCATGAACCCTCCCTTCATTACTTTCAGGCCCCAATTCTCTCTTTTTCTTGCAAGAATGATTTCATCTTGATGTATCATCAACTTTCACAACATGAAAAAGGTGTATCTCCATTTATGTAGGTTTTCTTTATTTCTTGAACAACCTTTTTTCAGATTTATTCCTGTGTATTTCACATGTAATTCCAAGATCTGATTTTTCGTTTCTGATATATAAAAATACAGTTAACTTTTGTATACTGATTTTGTATCTTTGCTAAACTCATTTATTTTGGTATCTTTCTTACGTCTCTTCAGATTTTCCCAGTAATCATGTCATCTCCAAGTAAAGACAGTTTCACTTTTTTCATGCCAATCTGGATGCTTTTTTCTTTTTCTTATCTTATTGCACTGGTGAACACTTCCAGTACAATGTTGGATAATTGACCAACAAAGCTATCTGGGCATCTGTCGTTTCTTGGTGGAAATGTTTTCAGCTACAAATTTAATTTCTTATGTAGATGTAGAGCTGTTCTTGTTTGTTATTTTCTTGTGAACTTTGTATTTTTTGAGGAATTTATCAAGTTTATTATAAAAGTTACTCATATACTTTTAATATTTGTAAAGTCTATAGTCATTTCACCTTTTTCATTCCAAATATTGGTGGTTTGTGTCTTATGTCTTTATTGATCACTTCCACTAGAGATATATTCGTTTTACTGTTCTCAGTGAACTGGGTTTTATGGGTGTTCTCTAGGTTTTGTTTGTTTTCTGCTTTAGGGATTTCTGCTCTCATCTATTGTTCCATTCTCCCTACCTCCCTCTTACTAGATTTAATCCCCTCCCCCCCATTTCCTGAAGGTGGAGGAAGACCTCACTGATTTCAGTCCTTTCTTGTTATAGCTGTTTAGTGCTATAAAATTGTTGCTGTATACTGTTTCAGTGGCATCTCCAGTTATGTTGTTTTTTTCATTTTCATTTGCTCTAAGGTGCTTTATAATTTGTTTTGATTTCTTCTCCAAGCCATTGGCCCATTTTTCCTTTAGTTTCCAATAAGTGGGGCATTTTCCCAGAATCTTTCTGTATGACTTGAACCCATTAGTTGTATTGAGACTTGTTTTATGACTGAGAATATGGTTGACCTTGCTACATATTCTATATACACTTGGGAAGAATCCAACTTTTGCTAGTTGGAGTGTTCTCTGTTAGTTCTGGATGGTTGATGTTAGTCCTCACTTTTCTTTGTCCTTGTTGATTTCTTGTGTACTAATTCTCTCCATTTCTAAGAGAGGAATATCAGAGAATCTCAGATTGTAATTGTGGATTTGTGTTTCCTCATTCAGTTCTGTGAGTTCTCTCCTTTACGGTGGAGTTCTGGTATCTGGTAGATAGATATACATCTGGAATTGTTGTGTCTTGGTGAGCTCATCATTATGAATGCTCTCTTTTTATTGCTGATAATTTTCTTTGCTTTAAAGGCTGATTCATCCGCTTGAGCTTTTAGTTTGTGTTTTCCTGTCCCTTATATTTGTTTTATTTGAGTGATTTCCCACTAAACTTGGTGAAGAATGGATGGTCCATCAGGAAAGTTGCTTACAAATTTTGAACCTCTTTATAAGGGATTACACAAAATGCCATCCTTTTTCTTGTAGCATCCTTTGCTGAACTTCTCAATTTTTAGTATGGTCTTTTCGCTTTTAAGAGAAGTCTACCTTTCTTGCCAGCACCCCCATTGAAAGGGTTGTTCTGAATGTACTCTATGTCAATCTCTGTTCAGAGTCCTTTGGATTGCAATTATGTTTTAGTGGAGTGAGACAGACAGTAAACAAATATACGCTATGCCATTGGTGATAAGTCCTCTGAAAAAGGAATAAGGTACTGAGTAATGGAGATAGAGAGGTTTGGTGGGTAAGGCAGGAAAGGTGCTCCTTTAGGAGAAATGTCCGTAGAGCACCTCTGAGAAGGAGACATTTGGACGGAGACTTGACAAAAGTGAGGGATGAACTGAGTGGAACACGGGCAAAAGACAGTGCTGGCCAAACAAACAATGAGGACCAAGGTCTCAGAAAGGAATATGCGTGGGAGCTCCAAGGGGGTGTGACTGGAATGAAGTAAGTGATGTTGAAAAAATTACCAGCTTAGAACATTGAAGAACTCTAGAATACTGTGCTGGCACAATCCCTAACCACGTTGTGGTCCAAATCAAACCCTACAAAGGAGGCTCAAATTTTTAGAACTGAGAGGATGGATGTGCAGGGAAGATTTTCTGTGGCATCATTCAGCAGACTGCTGCTGAAGCTGTGAATCTTTGAAGACCAGCGGACTGTTGGGGATGCTTGTCAGCAGCACTATGGTCTGAGTGAATGAAAGTGCATTCTTCTTCATTACCAAAGGTCAGGTCATTTCCTTTGTATTTCGTATCAGTTCTTAAACATACAGAATAGCCTTAGAAAGTTTCATCGCTTTCTTAACTTTTTCTTTATTTGTGAAGGATAGCTGGTAGTCCTTACTATATCTCTTGGATGTACTATAAAATCCTTTGGAAAATTAGAAGGCTACTTAATAGATGTTTTCAAAAAATTTCAATTGATGGTTTAAAAAAATTCAGTCTTGTTGATGGGCTGAAAATTTTGTCCTTTTACCCATAATTTTACCAGCTCGAGTATTTCATACTGTAAGTGCTAGTGCCTTTTTACTGCCGTAAAATTTGCTTAGCTTCGTGTTTTCATATTGGAAAGGAGGTTGAGTGTACTGCTGCACTCTTCAGGTGCGCGGCTGAAAGTGTATCTGACAAAGGTGAGTCTGTGAGTAGTTGATGTGTATCTGCCAAGAGTGAGATGAAACCACTGACCAACACTGTAGTATTGTATTTTAGGATGCGGGAATTGTCAAATTTTTATTTTTATTTTTTTGCAGATATTTCTTGGTGGATTTTTATGCACCAACAACAACCGTGGAGAGCATAATGGAGCACTTGTCTCGGGACATTGATGTGATTAGACCAAATATTGTAACACACCCTCTAACCCAGGAAGTAAAACAGTGTGATGGCATTGTCCCAGTCCCACTTGAAGAAAAATTATATGCCCCAAAGAAGAGGAAGTAAGAAGAACCATGGGTGTTAGCCTTTTGTTGACTTCTCTCACACCAGAGGAGCGTGGGTGACGAGTATACAGATGTGGCCTTTTACCAAGAATTTTGTTAGGAGTACCATTTGAGTTTTGTAGGATGCTTTGCTTTTGATCCCTTTTTTGGGCAAGAAGTGGGAAAGCTGCTGGCTGAGAACTTGCCTGTCATCTGTGGTACTGCACATGATTCCCGACTTTGTTTTCCTTAGTGTACTTTCTTTGTCAGTGTGGACAGCAACACCATTCTGAAGAGCAAAACATAAAATTGCCTTGGATTGTAAGCTCATCATTCACACTGTATAACCATGCAAAAATAAAAACTGAAGACCGCTGTATAATAGGGACAACTTTCGATCAAAGAAATAAACATGATTTTATAAACTCTACCAGGTGTGTTGCGCCTTTGCTTGCTGCAGCATAGTACATTCCCTGAGCCTTCACGGCACTGACCTTGGGGTATTTCAGTGTGGGGCACTGAAGTTCAGGGACTGGGAGAATAAGAGGTGAAGATGAATCTGTTCCTGGACCATGGGTCAGTGTGCAGAATGAGTAACTCTTCTCTCCTGTGTGTCACTGGTCATTGTGGTAGCTGCTGCCCTTTTGTGGAAAGACATGTATGTTCCGGGGCCTTTGGTGTCTGACATTACTGCCTATCATTTCTTTGTCACTGGCACCTGCCTCCACTGTCCCTCAGCCCTGGGCAGCCTCTTTGAGAAAGAACCCTCCTGGCGGTGAGATGACTTAATTGATGGGTGAGGGTGAGGTTTTTTTTAGGGACACTCACTCAGATTTCATCCTAGGTCTCTGCAGGGCTGGTGAACTGGGAGACTTAAGCAGTATTTCCACCTTCCTCGACCAGAGTGTCTTGCACAGAGGTCTGCCACCACCACAGATATCAGGTCTCTGTGGACAAAATGTCGGGGGAACTGCCAGGTAGTAAGAATCCCTTGTTATGATCTGTATGGTCAGATTGTCTTAAAGCAGAAAGGTGTGAGGTGGAACAGAGGTGGGCAGGCGATGCCAGTAGACTTAGGCGGATGCCCCTAGTCCATGGTTTCTTCCGTCTCCAAAGCCACCTTCACAAGATGATCGGTTTTGTCACTGTGCTTATTCTTAAGAGCCCAGACAGCATCTAGCTTCATCCTCCAGAGGCAGAAGGCTAGGGAAACTATTTGCGGAGCAGTAGTTGAACAAAGAGAGTCATCAAGAAAGAGTTTCAGACTGGAAATAAAAAGGGATACAGTGGAGATAATGTGGGCAAATATCCTACTTCTTGTCTCATTAGGAATTAGCTGATTCTACAGGCCCTTGGCTAGGGCTTGCACAAGAGCACAGAGCCTCTACCAGGGGGTATGTTTTCTGTTACTAACTCCGTGCCACCTGCCACACTACACATACTGCGTACTAACCTTACTTAGTCCTTTCATCCCCTTGAGGGAGGATTGCTATGCCTGTTTTGAGGATAAGGGTACTGACTCAGATCTCACCTTGGACTTACAGGTAACAAGTGGCAGCTGAGACCCTGAACTGCTGTCTGGTCTTTCCTGTCCTTTGATACTGAGATTGTGTTCACCTCTCAGGTTAAAGTAGGCACCTGGGTGAATTGCTGAGTGTGGCACCAGCACTTTCTTTTCCTGCACTTGGTCCCTGAGAAGACAATGGTTGCCATTTGGCATCTCAGGTCACACAAGCTTTCAGACGCTGATCGTGTTAGGAAGGAGGCTGGCTAAGTAGGACAGCTGCGCAGTGTGCCACTTCCCTTCTTGGAAGTGCTTAGGTGAAGCCGTGGTTCCTCGTCCTAATCACTGATTCACAGCTGTACTCTCAGCAACTTACTGCAGTCTGTGGCAGTCACGTGCCTGCTGTGTGAGCAGAGCACACGCAGGTGCTTGCCAGGCCACATGTTAACTTTCAGAGTCCAGGACCCTCCTGTCTTCCTGCCCAGAGTGGTCTGAGAGGCTGTTGTATTGGTCTGCTCCTTCAGTGAATGAGGTGAGCAACGTGCTGAAGGACATCTCTGACCTTGTTGGAGCTGACAGCTGGAAAGGTAGACAAAGCCCGTGGTGCCAGTAGGGAAAGTGCTACCAAGGGCATGTGCAGAAGCCATGAGGGAGTGAGGATATGGGCAGAAAGATTCTTGAGTGGCAGAAGAGGGTGGGAGGGAGAAGCGGTTGTGACAAGGCACATAAGGGCCAGATCTGGAGGCTGGAGACGCCTGAAGAATAAACATGAAGGGATAGGTGACCAGTGAAGTGATACGAGCTAAAGAAGGCAGGACTCAAGATGAGCACTCCCTCTGGACTCATGTCCTGCAAAATTCATCTTTAGATTTGTAACTTAGACCACCGTGGACAGGACTGATCTTCCTCCGCTTTGTTTGCTGTGACCTGTGTTGTTGCCTGGATCCAGCGGCATGTCAGGACACCATACTTGAACTTGTAAGCGGAATGAAGAGGAAGTACCCTCAAATCTGTTTAGTCCTCTTTTCTCCCAGTATATTGGCCACCTTTTCACTGCTGTGGTCTAATACCTTAGAAAAATAAAGGAGAAAGTATTTGTCTTAACTCAGTTTTAGAGGGTTCAGTCCAGGCAACCGACTCCAAGGCAGAACCCTGGTGGAAAGGCGTGATGGAGAAAAGCTGCTCATGTCCTGGCAGCCAGTGAAACAGAAAGGACTGGAAAGAGCTAGAGGAAGGGGCCGAGGACAAACCTCCATGACTCATCACGGTGCACCCAAAGTCTACTGCTCTTCTAGGCATCTTTCCAGCCTGTGAAGCCAACAGTCAGGATTAGACAACCAGAGTCACCTAAAAGACTTTATTTTTGCCAGCTAGCTCTCTTCCTTCCTGGAAGAAAGGACAGTGCCTCGTCCGCCGTGGTGGAGTTTCTCTGAAGAGACAAAGACCTCATGGTAGCGACCCCTCTAGAGTCAGTGGCCCAAAGGTAGTGGCCACCGTGCAACCCAGGGTATGAGATAGGTGTGGTGGGAGGACAAGGTGCAGGCTGAGGGCCTGAGAAGCCGTTCTCTGAGCTGTGCCTCAGAGGGAAGCTGCCCTCCGTGACACCTGTAAGTTGTGGACACACTCCTTAAGCTCTGAACCATGGAGTGTCAGCCAAGGAGAACATGAGGCCTAAGTGGGCCTTTCAGGTTTTTGTTCCAAGATCAGATTTATATTGATAGGGATGAGATACTTGTTTAAAAGATTATGGACTTTTTGAAAGTCCAAGCCATGCTTTCCTGTTTCTGGATCCAACTGAGTATGACAGAGCAGGTGTCAGGGAGTGAGTCCACCCAGAGCCCGGGGTGGGTGTTTCTTCACCCTCCCCACATCTCTGTGAGGCAGACGTATACATAAATCACCTGAGGCTCAGCAAATAACTCATCCAAAACCACAAAGGAAGGACTTGGCATTCAGAGCCCGCCTATCTGATTGTATGGGCTGTTTTTGGCAGCCAGTGAAGCCTTTCTGCAATGCATTTCTGCAAGTGGACACTGCTGGTCTTACAGTTCTGGCTCTGCTGTGGCGATCACCTCCCCTGGGCCCTTCTGTCCCACACCCAGGCCAGGCCCCAGGCTTCCTTGCTGTAGAAGGGGAGCCGGTGGAGCTAGGATTGCTTGGGGGTGTCTTTCAGATATGAAAGGGATCCCCTGAGAACAACAGGAAAATGTGTCTCCTGGAGGCAGGCATTTCTCTCTGCACCCCTTTTTTTGGCGAGGAGAGTACCAGGAATCAAACTCAGGACCTTGCACTTGCCAGGCAAGCTTTGTGCCGCTGAGCTACATCTCCAGCCCCTGCACCTTCATTTCCAACAGAGCTCTCTCTTCAGTACACTGCTCCAAGAGTGTGTTTATAGTGCCCACATAGGAGGGCACACTAGGCAGTGTCCCTGAACTCTAGGCACTCACCAATGGATGGATGGAGAGGTGGGAATACTCCGGTGTCCAAAAGACAGGCCAGGCCATGATGACAACTGAGATGCAAACCAACTGCTACGGAAATGGGAGGGGGTGCTCATGAGTACTTGGCATGGAGGCGGGCTGGGAAATTTTCCATTAGAGCTGATATTTCAGGTGGCATAGGAGCAACTAGTGTGGCATTGTGGGTCAGAGGGATGGGGAGGTGGCAACACCATGGGCAGCAGGCAAATATAGCGTGGCGTTGGAAAGGAGCTTGGAGTACCAGAGCCACAGGCGATCACTGGGGGTAAGACTGGGAAGTCTGGTGGGGCATAGCCCTCCAGCTGCCAGTGGGTATTTTTGGATGCTGAGGGTTTCTTGAAGGATCATGTGCGAGAACTTACAGTGGATCCTGTACATACTGACTTGGTACCAAATGTACCTCCTAATGGAACCTACACACTGTAAGGGAGGAAATGATTCTATAGATTCACCATAGAGAAGTGAAAAGGGGCTGAGATGAGATTTTCAGGTGTCCACAGGTAGGGCTTACTGGAGCAGAGGTGCTTGCTCAGTGACTCCCAAGTGCACTGGGTGTGCTCTGAAATGTGTGTCGCAACATTTGAGAAATACAAGTCACTCTATTTTTGTGTGGTCTGGACTATTTCCATTTGCACTAGGAGGCTAAGCAGAGATCTTACTGAACCTGTAAAGGCCTTGTAATGCTGCCTGCCAGTCCTTGTCCTGTCTTCCTGTGCCTGGGAAGAGGCAAATATGGCGTTGATGGGAAGTTTCCAAGGCACTTTGTGAGATTCTTGGTCACCTTGAAAAAAATTCAGTCGTGGAATAAATATATAACTTTGTGTCAAAGACTTGCTCCGAGGACCTGGTTTTGCCACCTACCAGCTACTTACCCATGGACGGTTTTTTCCCTTGGCTTCAGTGTCCCTGTATAGAAAATGTGGTGGGTGAATCAGATGGTCTTAAGCCCTTTCAAGTCTCTTATCTGCCTGGTTTCTAGAGGGGTTACCGCAGGAGCTTGGTAGGATAGGACAGGGAGGTGAGGAAGGGTTAAAAGGATTTGCAGAGGCTTGTTCTCTGCCTGGTTCTCTTCATCTTCTGATAAACAGCTGTGGTTTTTATAACCTGCCAGTGAGTTCAGTGGGACTGCCTGTTGCCTTAACTCTAAACAGACTAGGCACTGTGCATAATCACAAGAACACAGCAAAGAGCCCCGGAGGTCAGCACAGTTGTTTGCTGCTCTCAAATTGCTGGTGTTCTTTGTGCTGGTTGGAAATGAAGCTTGAAGGGACATGAATTTAGTGCCAAATACAGGTAAGAGGCATTCAATAGTCTACGGGAGGAAATTTGCATCCAAGTGGTGGTGAAGTCTAATTTTTGGAGAACTCCACAAGTCCCCAGATCACCCTCTAAATAAATTTATTGTAACAGCAGCAATGTCCAATAACCCTGGACACTCCCAGCTTTCTTGTATCCCAGAGAGACTAGGAAGAGTCAGACTGTGAAATCAAACCTCTTCTCAAACTGTTCCAGTTGCCTGGACTGCTAAAAGAGGAAGAGTTGGTGTCTGGGTATTATTGCATCAGAACCTTGTCACAGAAGCACTAGCATCGTCACATTTCCCAGAGATATTCCCTGTAACAGTTCCACTGGTACTGGAAAAGTCAGCAGACAATGCCAGAAGTAAGGGTTGTGCAGATTGGACAACCCTTACTAGGTTCCACATAAGTGGGAAACTCCGTGGTCCCTGTACCGTGAATACTGAGCTCCATGATAGGACATGGTTGTGGCCCCTTGTCCACGTGAATCCTGAAAGGGAAGCATCTCTTTATTGGAAAACTAGACATTCGTCTTCCACAGAAGTGTCAAGGTTTGTTCACTGGCACAGACTTCATTATGAAATTAATTTCTTGCTCACATGTATTTGTAACCCCAGATGAATATTTGTGGCATTTTTGTGGCCACAGATACCTGTAGAATGGTAAAAATGGGGGTAAGCAGTGCTCTTTCTGTTTCAGCACTTATACTGTAAAAAGTGTCACATGTCTGTTTAGTGCCCTGTTTTTTGATATTTGCATTTGCATTTTACTGTTTAATACAGCCCTCAAGTGTTGTGCTGAAGTGCCGTGTAGTGTTCCTAAGCTCAAGAAAACTGATGTATCTTGTGAAGAAAATAAGGACAGATAATAGCCTGGAGTGCAGTGTTACTGAATCAATAGTATTTGGAAATAATATGTCTTTTAGAGGAAACCTGCACAAAATGGGGTTGTGTATTGACTGGTTGACAGAGCGCTATGACTAGAAGCTGACCTAACCCTGCATTTCCCCTGGGAGCAATGATTCAGTATTCTCTAATTCAGTCTTCCCAATGACTTTAGAGAACATAAGTAGTGCAAACAACAAGAATCAACTGTATTTGACTGTAATTTTTAGCTGTAGTAAAGGAAGAGATTTTAATTCGACCATTGTTCTTATTCTCCTGGTCTTATTTGTCTTTCACCATCCTGCCTCCTGTTTTCAACTACACATATTTTCATTCCTTACATCAGCGAGCTGTGTGTTCTCGGAGAGCCAGTGAACTCTCTGCAAGAACACTTAGAAATCCATGGCAGAAAGATTTGGTGGTGTGGCCAGAAATCCAGAACTGTAATAGCCTGGACACGGTGCTCCTGTTGCCTTCTAGCCTTAGAAGGAGCAGTTCTGGCGGTGGTGAGTAAAGGCTGTGGAAGAGGATAAGGAGATGAGTAGACTAGTGTTTTAGTTATCTTTTTCTTGTTGCTGAGACAAAATACTCAACACCCGAAGTTAAGAGAGGAAAGCTTTATTTGGCTCACAGTTTGTAGAGGTTTCAGTCCATAATTGACTGGCTCCAAAGCGAGGTGGCATGGCAGAGGAGCTCAAGAAAGGAGAAACGGTTCATGGCAGGCAGAAGGCAGCAAAAGCAGCAAGCAACAGGGACAGCAGCAGCCCTTACATTTTATCCGGGGTACCTACCCCTTAGGTCAGGTAGCATGCACACCCAGAGTGGGATACCCTTAATCCTAGCACCACTCCATGAATTAATCCCAGCATCACACCCTTGATCCCAGTACACACCCAGATCCAGCCAACTCCAAAAAGCCCCATCTGTGACCACCTGAGGCTTTGGGGGAACATCTAGATGCAAGCCATAATAGTAGCAACTCTGCTCTTAAGGTATACGAAAGCTCAGGGCTTTTCAAATACTCTTTAAATAAAATAAATTCTAATTACCTTTAAAATAACTGCCAAGGGTTGTTCATGCAGCAAAATCAAAAGGAATTTTAAAGTTCTGATTTTAGAAAATTAGCAAGTGGGTAAACATTTATTCCTCTTCCATACATCTCTTACCAGAACAAAATACAGTAGTATGGGGAAAATGATTTAATAAGTAAAATGTTCAAGAAATCTGTTGGGCCACTGCTGCTTTATACCTCCAAATCATAACATGAGTTGGAGTTAAACCTGTTCTGGTAAAACGTGATGCCACAGGACTGACTGTCCTCACAGCATACTTCATACTCTGTTGTGCTTCCTAAAGACACTAGAAACTAGAAACATTTTTTTAAAAGTTCAAACAGGCACCAAAGTACAGAAGATAACACAACCAATTGGAGGAACCTAACATTTCACTTCATGAGAGACTATATTTTTGCTGTCTATACCTCAGCTCCTTTAGAGAAATAAAGTGTTAGCTATAGATTTCAACAAATTCTCTCACCCTTGATTATCCTAGTCCTTCCTTCCCAGGAGATAACAATCATTGCTTTCGTACTTTTATAGTAACTCATAATATTGTTTTGTGGATTCCAGTTGCCTAAATGGATCATGGTAGGCAGCCTTCAGCAACATGCCTTGTTTTCATTCAGCACCACCCATTTTGCCCATGTGGGTACTTGTAGTCATAGGTCACTCGTTTGATGTCACAGTCTGTCTACTTGACTATTAATGAGCATTTCCAATCTGACAGTGTTGCAAGGAGTGCCGCAGGACGCTTACTGGTAGGTATCGCCTGCAACCTGTGTGCAAGTTCTCAGTAGAGGGTGACTTGCTGACACATTTGGTGTTTTTGCTTTTATCTTTAGGAGTTATTGACAAAGTCATTGGATTGATCTACATACCCTTCGGCAAGATTTGAGAGTTCTTGTTTTCAGCCAGCTCCCACTATGTGGTGTTATATTTTTAAAGAATTTCACCAGTATAAGAAGTGCCAAGGAGTGTCCCTTTTTTAAAAGTTATGTTTTCTTTCTTACTGCACATAAACTTATTTTCATAGTGACAGTCATCCTGTTTTCCCCCCGATAATTGCTTGTTTATATGCTTTGCTGATTTCCTTCCTGGATTGCCTGTCATTTTTCTAACCTAAGAAAACATAAAGTACTCACTATCTGCACAAGTGCAGTTCAGAAGAGTTTAGTACCACCGTCCTGCTTCCCTCTGCTGCTGACAGGAATGAACATTGTGAAAGCTTCTGGAAGCACCTTGAATTCATTCTTGCCTCACCCAGCACTCCACCCCTCCCACACACTGCCACACACTACCTTGAGAACCTTGGGACCAACATGACAATGCCCTTTGCTCTTGTTGATGAAGGTCACCATGAGAATTCCAGGATTCCAGATTATCCAACACCCCCAGCAACCCAAGCCCCACTCAGCTTTGACGCTTTTCCCTTTCCAGCCTGAAGCCTATTCTCAGTGCCTCAAGAACTCCCAGTCATCAGCCAAAGTCCCGATTGCTTCAACCTTCTCCGTAAACATTTCCTTCCTCTTGTTGCTTCAGTTGAAATTAGGATCTCAAGGCCCCAGTTTTCCCTGTAGCCCTCCCAGTAGTAGCTGTTACCTTTCCCATGATCCTTTGCCCAATAGGCCTCAAGGTAGGCCAGATATCAAACTGCTGTCCCTCTTGCTAGTCTAAGACCCCTAGGCTTGAATTTCATGCTATCAGACTAAGCCAGTGGTGGCGAACCTGTGGCACTCATGCTGCAGCCAGCTGTTTGTTATCTTTGAGCGCTTAAACGGTTCACTATCACTGGGCTAACCCGCTGAGTGTAGGTGGTCATCTAAGGACCCCAGGCCACATCTTCTTATTCCTTATAGACATAGCTCTAGATCACTGCTGTTACTCTTTTCAATCCAAGATCATGACTCAGTGATTTCAACATCCACCACTGGATCCTTTCCAATACCCTGGCCTCTTGGTTCCCTGATCTCTCCTCTTCCATCTACTCAGTCGTCTGCTCCCTGATAATATCTTAGACCTTGTCATTACCAACAGCTACATTATCTAAATTTCAAACATCTCTTTCTGTCCAGTTCGCTTCTGTTGGTCCTTTAGTGCCAACAATCCATTCTCACAATCTCACTGAGACGTACAAATCTTGCCATCTTATCCTCGTATCGCTCCTCATATCATCACATCCCTTCCTGCTAAAAGTCTGGGTCAGCTTTAAAGTCTGGGTCAGCTACTACTACCTCTCAGCTCTCTTCATCCTCCTTGTGGGGTTTCAAACCCTCCCTGAAGCCTGTATGTGTGCCCTGAATGTGGTGGAGAAGAACATCTTTGCTGACTGCTCTCTTGGCCACCAGCCACAGGTGGGTAGGTCTTTGGTGCTCCCTGATCCAGTGGTTCCCTGTCTTCCTAAGTAAATATCCCATCTTTCTCATCTCTTCAATCTTCCTGTACATTTTGGTTCTAATTTCACCCTCAGCTGAGGACCTTGCTCCCTATTTTATTGGAAAAATGAAGGGAACCAGAAGAAAAATTCCACAAATGTTCCAAACACATCTATTGTCCTTTTGTAACTGCAGCCACCATCTCCCCTCCTGGGTAAACTCATGTTGCCCTGCGGGCTCATGTGTCCCCTGTGCTCAAGGTTTGGTCCTCGCCTACCTGTTGTGGCCTTGCTGCAACAAATGTCCTCCTGCCTCTCTGCATCAGCAAACTGCCCATCTGATCATTCTCATCGGGAAAAAAAAATGCGTAATTCTTCCTGGAAAGAAATTCCTCAAGAATATTTTGTGTCATTTCCTCCCTTGTCAGTCTCTTTAATGAAAATACAAATAGGAAAAGAAAAGAAAATAGGGGAAAAGAAAAGAAAAGATGTGCAAGGCTTTGTAATGATGCGTTTTCCCTACTCTCCCTTAAGCACTCTCATATCAGGCTTTTGCCTTGACCCCATTCATTTGTGTCAAGATTTCTAACCCACCTGCTCCTCAGCCATTTTCATTCTCCCACCAACAGCAGTTAACACAGTTGCTCATTCCCTTCCCCTTGAAGTGTGTTATGGTTTGTGTCTGGATGTCCCCCCAAATCCTCATGCAGTCATGGGGTAGGCTTCTAGATTTTTGTTTGATTCATAGTCCAATGCTGGGATTGTGGGTGTGAGTGCTACACCGCCCTGGGGTGAATAGTTTGCATATGTAAGGGAGGGAAAGAGGCTGCTTGCCTCATCCTTTCTTGTTGCTTTTTTGCTTTTGCTATTTTCTTACGCCATGAACTGTTGCCCTCTGCCATGTGCCACTCTGCCCTGGAGCCACCCAAGTATGGACTGAAAGCTCCACAAACAGTGAACTAAATAAACATTTCCTTCCTTAATTTTAGGGGTCAGGTATTTTGTCTCAGCAATGAGAGAAAAATAACCAAGACAGAATTTGGTGCCGGAGAAGTGGGGTCATTGCTGTGACTGTACCTGACCATGTAGTTCAAGAGTCTTTGGAAATGGCTTGTGGGAAGTGTTTGGAAAGGTTTGGAGATGTCACCTGAAAGAGAAGAGCTCAAACTCCTTCGGCTGTATGGGAGATTCTGGTTAAAGCTCAGAAGACCAGAGGGCTGATAGAAATCCCCCCACTAAAGACCAGGCTCGAGAGGTTTCTGCTGGGAAGAAAGACAGCATTGGTTGTTGGACTGCAGATGATGTGTGTTATGGCTTGGCAGAAAGTTTGTCTGCATTTTGCTTGTGTCCAGAGACTTTGCCTGAGACTGAGATTAAGGGCGGCGGACTGATTAATCTGGCAAATGAAATTTCAAGGCAGTTGAATGTTGAGGCAGTGGCATGGCTATTGTTGGGGGCTTTTAGCCATATTTCTGTTGAGAACCAAGAACAAAGAGCCCAGCAGGATGATTTAAAATGTGAGTTTGGCCAGAAAGGAAGCTATAGTAAAGCTGTGGGCTGCAAAGATAGAGCTGAGGAGATTTCAAGTGCTGAGTAGGAACAGGAGAACACAAAAAATGGCCCGAGGGCATCACAAGAAGCAGCAAGTCTCTACCCTTTGCAGCCTCAAAACGGCAAAGGTGAAAGACTTTGCTTTGAGGAGAAAGCCACAGAGTGCTATGTTCCAGAATGGTGGCAGTGGCCTCACCAGGTTCGAGAATGGCAGTGGCATAGAGGATTTGTTCCTCAGAATTGTATTCAGAGTGCCCAGTGATCCAGGCACTCGACCCCTATGGCCAAGAGAGAGGAAAGCTTGGCTACTGCTTCAGGTGGCAGCAAACATTGGCATCATCCACATGGCACTGGTTTTAGGCACATAGAGAATGCATGAGTTCTGAGGTTAAGAAGGCTTCCACCTAGATTTCATTTATTTATTTATTTTTTGGTTTTTCTCCGGTACCGGGAACTGAACTCATGAGCTTGCACTTGCCAGGCAGGCGCTTTTGCCGCTGAGCTAAATCCCCAGCCCTCCACCTAGATTTCAGAAGGCCTGGGTGGCCAGGCAGTGTGCCTCTGAGAGGGCAGTGTGTGAAGCTGTGAGTGAGAAGCCTAAAGTGCAGTGGAGGCCTCAGAAGTTCGGAAAAGCCAGGAACATGGATTGTCTAAGGAAAGCTGCAAGGAGAAAGCAAAGTGGTCCCAAGAGAGAAGCCTTAGGATCTATAACCACCAGAAGTGCAATAGGGGTAGGCAGAGTCACGCAAGCCCTTTGGAACTCACAATGTGCCACAGATTGCTTCAGATGCTGGACATGGAACTATAGGACTGAATGTTTGCCCTGCTGAATGTTGGACTTGCTTTGGTTCCAGTGCTCTGTATCCCCCTGTTTGTACCTTTTGGAATGGTAATGTTTATTTTGTGCCATTGAATGTTGAAAGTGTTTAACTTTTCATTTGTATGGGGGCTTGCAGCTGAGAGTTTCCCTTACATCTGGGAAGAGACTTGGTACTTAGATTTTTCAGCAATGCTGAAACTGTTAGGGCTTTGGCAACTCTTGCAGATGGACTAAATGGTGTTTGTATAAAGGGAAGTGCATGAGTCTTTGTGGGGCCAGGGGTAGAATGCTATGGTTTGTGTCTGCATGTATCCCCAAATCCTCATGCAGTCATGGGGTGGGCTTCTAGATTTTTGATTGATTCATAGTCCAAAGCTGGGATTGTGGGTGTGAGGGCTACACCTGCCCTGGAGTGGATAGTTTGCATACAGTATAAGGGAGGAAAAGAGGCTGCTTGCCTCACTCCTGCCCTTTTGCCCTTTTGCTATCTTCCACCACCATGAACTGTTGCCTCAGCCATGTGCCACTCTGCCTTGGAGCCAAGTATGGACTGAAACCTCCACAAACTGTGAGCTAACTAAACCTTTCCTTCCTTAATTTTGGGTGTCAGGTATTTTGTCTCAGCAATGAGAGAAAGGTAACCAAGACAAAGTGCCTCTTTGGCTTGGGTGTTGGCCAGCCAGACCTGTTCGCTCTGATTCTGGACTCTTCCATTGCCTCCTTCGCTGGTTCCTCTTCATTTCTTCCTCTTGGTGTTGGAGTACTCTAGGCCAGGCTGTCTACTCTCACCCCTCTGGTGATTTCACCCAGCCTCTCATTTTAAATGCCATTTGTGTGTATACTAAGTATTCCCAATTTCTCTCCTCAGCCTGGATTTCTCTCTAGGCTCCCCATGGTATCTCTGACAGCCTACATGCATTTTCCCTTGAAAACCAAACAGGCATTTGAACTTCTGTCCACAACTTGAGTCCCTGCCTCCTTCTCAGGCCTGCTTTTCCAAGTCTTCCCACTTGTACTGGCTTAAGCTGAAGATCTTGGAATCATCCTGGAGCTCTTCTTTTTCTCTCCCAACCCACATCTAGTCTTCTGGGAGAAACTCATTGTCTCCCCTTCAAGACATATCTAGCATCCATCAACTTATCACCTCCACTGCCACCACCAGCACCTAACCACACCCTCTCTGTCCTAGATCATAACTAGAGCCCCTTGCTTTAGTTTCCCGGGTCTAATATAACAAAGGACTACACGGCACCGTGGAGGGCTTGCCGTTATAGTGCTGTCCTGCTGAGAAGTTGTCCCTTCCAGGCAGATAAATCAAAATTGGTAGATCCATTTTATCTTGCCTCGTAAACCTCTCGGGACTGCTGTAAGGAATGGTTCTGTGACTAGGGGCTGCTTTTGAACTTGGTTTGCAGTGATAGTGACAGCCAAACGCTGTGAAAGATGAAGCTGTCCAGAGAAAGAGGAGCATGTTGATCCCTGGGTATCCACCCATCTTCCATGTTATTGTGTGAATAAAAAGGAATTTACGGAGACAGTCAAGATATAATTTGTTGTCTTTCTTTTAAAAAAGGAGAAAGAAAATCTTTTAAAAAAAGAAAGGAGAAAAGAACAAAATAGTGTGTACCACGTATGAGTGTTAGTTATATCAGAAGACAGTGGTGATGGGTATTTTTTACTTTCTTCTTTTTAAACTACAGTTTCTAATTTCAAAAACAAGGATCATGTGCTAAAAGCACATTAGAAAAAGTTTCAATAACAATTCAGAAAAGTTGAGCAAGCAAAATTATATGAGAATAACCTAAAGGGTCATCAGAGCAAACCTTCCTTCATTGCAAACATGTGAGCAATGCCAACCTTTTATTTAGAGATAGCTAATGTGATTTGGAAGATAGCATGCCTGGTTTATGAAGTCAGTGTCCCTGGGGCCTTATTATGCTCTTTCTGGTCTTACAAGAGACCCAAGAGGTTCTCAGCAAAACATAACTAATAATAAAATTAAAATGATAAGACTTTGTATTTTTTAGCCTAACAGAAATCGTGGCTTAAAAATTGCCTTTAAGTTTATAAAGAGTATTAGATGATGACATTGATCAATTGTTAACTGTTTTCACAGAGGACAGAGCTAGAAGAAATGGCCCTAAATTGATCAAGAGCTTGGAGTAGAGATCCTTGACTAGGAGGCTAGTGAGACCCTGGTGTGGGGAGACAGTAGGCTGCCTTAATCTCAGGGGGACTAAATACAGGAAATACCATCTGTCATAGAAAGTCTAGGGGAGATCTCTTCAGTAGGCTTGCCAGAAGGTTCCTTGAAGTTCCTATTCTGTGCTGGCTTGATGAAGGTGTAAATTCAGTTGGTCCATTTCTGAACAACCTGTCCTGGAACTTGAAGTGTCTGTGTTCTTGGCCAGGACTGGCTTCAAGAGAGCTGGTGGCCATCTGTGTGGCTGGAGGGCTGCCAGCATACAACTCCTATTGTTGAGTCATGCTGTGTGAAATCTTGCCAGGTGACAATCATATTTGGGGGGGTCATCAAGTGCCCAATGGCATGTGAGTGATGCATGTATGGTTCTCTTTTTACTATTCATTTTTGTAAATTTAAGAATAAATTTGAAGATTTTGAGATAACTGATTTAGAGTTTTTTCTCTTGAGGCATTGTTTAGAAATCTTAACTATAACTTAAAAATAAGGCAGAGAGGCATGTCCTCTCAATGTCATACTGGGACGTTGTTTAATAGATTTACCCAATGATAGTTTAATTCTTGAGGAGAATATGCTTGAATTTGACTTTACTTTTACCAGTTGATAAGCCCAGACACAGTACATATACATGCTAACTTGTTGATTTCTGTCCCTTAGCAAAGAGAACCACAAGGGGTATGGTCTCATTTCCACGTAGGTCATTAACCAGTTTCATGTGTAACTTCTCAATCATTCTACCATTCTGTTTTGTTCTTAAATACTGGTAAGTTTCCACAAATGCTCTTGGACCCTTCTTAACTATCCTCCTGGTTTAGTGAGTTAAATATTCATTTTATATTTGTATAAGAGTCATGTGTCTAACTTTTGAAACAATCCTGCAACAGGAAGGAGAAGAAACACAAGGGCCATAGGTTGAAGAGCACAATATGGATTCCTAGCTGGATGTGGTGAGTACAGTACACAGTTATTGCCTGAAGGAGGAGGATGACTCAAGGCTCAGCTCGCCTGTGACTGGACAACCCCTAGGTGAGAAAGAGAGCATTGGTTTTTTTTTTTTTTTTTCCCTGCCTAATAGCCTGCTGAGAGCAAGGTTGATAGAAGGGGGTGTGGTGCAGCCAGGGCCAATAGAATAGTAGGATGGGATTCCCTTGCAGCACTGAGGAGTAGAGCCAGAGCCTCCACACTGAGCTACATCTCCAGCCCTTTAAAAAAAGTCTTTCATTTTGAGACAGAGTCTTGCTCAGTTGCCTAGGTTGGCCTTGAACTGATGATCCTCCTGCCTCAGACTCCCAAGAGTTGAGAATACAGGTGTGCACCGCCACAACCAGCTAAGAGGGGACTTCTTAGTGCCATTAGGATTAAGATTCTGAAAAAAATCCTGACAGATGCCAAGGTCGAGGTGGAGAAGGAAATTTCAGAGGTGGGGAAACTTGGGGAAACGAGGTCAGGGTGTGGCTCTAGAAAAGTGGGCTGAATTTCACTGGAACAAAAGACATCAGGTGGAGAGTGGCTGGGAGCTGTAGAAGCCACCTGTAGTGGCGCCAAACTCTTCCTCAGGGATGGCCACAGGAGCACCTGCCCTTGGTGGCCTGGTGGGAAGAGGATAGCTTGGAGGAGAGCCAGGCTTTCCTCAACTATGGCTTGATGAGGGTAGATTTATAGAGGTCACAACATGACAGGGATGAGGAACAAGGGTGCTATAAGAGCTGGGGGGGAGCAAGAACCTATGAGAGAACTGGTGACCCCAGGGGCTAACATTCTGGACCACTTCCTATAGTTTTTAAGATGCCATGCACGAGTGCAAAAAGTCAGCCAGAAGGTGCTCAACCACCACTACAATTACTTGGGTGACACAACCAAAGGGTCTGAGTGTCTGAATGACATTGAGGTCCACTTTGCTGCCCAAAGGCACAGAGGCATGGGTTAACCTCAGACACCAACTTGTATGGAGCAGACATTCCATTCTAGAACTTTCTCTGGAAACAGCCTGCTGTATCTCACAGGGGTCCATGGATGAGGAAAGCTAAAGAGGAATGGTCCCCCTTCTCAAGCAACATGCCAGGTCTTTGGAATCTCACGGACCTGCCTGGCTGCATCGTGCTATTGGCTGGCTATCGTCAGACTATTAAATTCCATACCTCTCTTCCCACTGGGGCTGCCACATGCACTGATGACCCCTGGCTACTGCAGGTTTGGGGACCCCACTCAAGGTGTGAGCTTCTCAGAAGCACCCCAAGTAAGACAGTGCCTGTTCCTCTGCACTCATGCGTGGTTGTTGCTCTACCCCACACGCCCCTTGGCCACGGCTGCAAATTCCAATTTTATCTCTTGTGGTTTTAAGCCTGTTTGCTTTTGATTATGGTTCAGTTTTGAAAGGGAAGAGACACACACTCCAGCTCTCTTTTTTCTTTCTCAGATGGAGTAATAAACCTTATTTATAGTGGAATTATTTCCTTCCGTGGTGGCACATTTGATTTTATTATTCTACCTCATTTCATTTTGGATTGCAGAAAGGAGGAAACACATAAAAGATAGATATTCTGGCTCACTCCACCTCCCTTGTAGCTGACTGTAGGAAAAATAGATGTAACAATCTGTTAGTCACCTCGTACCATGACACTTTTTTGCTTCTGACCAACAGAACTGTACTTTATGTTCCAAAGAATTTTTCACGTGAACCCTGTTAGTTCAACATAAGATTCAAGGTATGAGTGTCAATGGTGGACACCTCTAGTCACAGAGATTTGGGAGGCTGAGACAGAAGGAGCACTTGAGCCCAGGAGTTCCAGGTCCACCTGGACAACACAGACCTCATATCAAAAAGACAAGATTCAAAATATGGCCAACCTCAACATGACACTGTAAGTTTGCTTCTTCTATCACTGATAGCTCTCTCCAAAGCTGCAATATGCTGCTACATAGCACGATCATTTGAGCTGGAAAGTTTGGAGCATGATTTTATTTTGCTTTTGCGCCTATCTATTTGAACTGGTTGAAAGTATGGTTTAACTCCAGGTATTTTGGTAGAGGATTTGGTCACAGCTACCTTGGCTCCCTGAATTACTTCACCTGACCTTTGCTTTTTTATGCTTAGGAAAAGGTCACAGAAGACCTCTCCTCTTGGAATCAAAGAGTTTCCTAAATTGCTCAGATAGGTTTGAAAAAGATTTGGTTTTATTTCTTATAAAGCTTGGTCATGTGTCCTAAATTCTTATTTTGAATTCATATTTCTTATTTTCTCATGGTTTTTGCAGTGTTGTGTGTAGTAGGTATAGTCATGCATTGCTGAATGGTGGGGTTAAATTCTATGGAATGGATCATTTTGGTTTTTTTTGTTTTTTTTTTTTTTTTTTGGTTTTTTGGTTTTTCTCCGGTACCAGGAACTGAACTCACGACCTTGTGCTTGCCAGGCAGGCGCTTTGCCGCTGAGCTAAATCCCCAGCCCGGATCATTTTGATACTGTGAACATCACACAGTGTACCTATACAGACTAAAATGGCTTCGGTGTCACTAGTGATATGATCTATGAGACCATCCTCATAGATGCAATCTGTCATTGACTGAAATCTTGCTATGTGGAACTAAAATAAGGGACTTCTTTTCTACCTTCATTTCTAGGAGAGAAAAGAGGATCTCAGGAGAAAGCACAGCCTTGCCCGAAGTCCTCTCAATTTAGGGGAAGGGTTTTGATTAAACTATGTTGCTTGTGTTTCTATTTGTACAGATAAAAGGGAAGCTGAATTTTACCAATTTGTACTGCTCTCCAGGAAAGAGGTGGGCATGCTGAATTTCCCACTTTTCTGTAGCTCACTTGCTCTTCAGTTTGCTTAAAAAGCCTCCTACCAATGTGGAGAAATTGGAACCCTTATACACTGCTGGCGGGAATATAAAATGGTACAGTTGCTTTGGAAAACAGTCTGGCAGTTCCTCAAGAAAGTCAAACAGAGTTAGCATATAACCCAGAAATTCCACTCCTAGGTGTATATACCCAGGAGAACTGAAAAACATATGTCCATACAAATGTTCCACACAGACATTCATGGCAGCATTAATCACAATAGTCCGGAAGTGGAGATCACCCAAATGTCCATCCAGGGATGAGTAGGCAAATGATGTATAATCTACCCATACAGCTGAATGGTCTTTGCAGCAAAGAGGAATGCAATATGGATACATGTACAGCATGGGCAAACCTTGAAAACGTTGCGTTAAGAAATAGAATTCAGTCCCCAAAGACTCCATATTGTATGATTCCATTCATAAGAAAATGTACCAAAGGTGTGACTCCATAGAGAGAAGATGGACTAGTGGGGGCGTCTGAGACAAGTGGGGAGTGACAGCTAGTCAGGGTGGGCTTCCTTTCTAGAGTGATGAAACTGTTCTAAAATTGGTCATGGTGATGGCTACTCGCCTCTGTGATCACACTGAAAGCCACTGACTTGTGTATTCTAAATGGGTGGGCTCTGTGTCCTGGGAATTGTATCCAATGGAGCTTTTATTTTAAAAGGGAAGGGTCTTAAAACTCCTGATCCTAATATGGCAGATGACAGAAGATGTGGGAGCAATCTCAGCTCGTTGTGGGAACTTCTGAATTTACTTTTCTCAGGAGATACAGAGTGTGCTGGGGTTGAACCATGTCAGGACCTCTGCTTGCAGGGGGGATTTTGGGAAGAGAAGACACGGACACTTCAGATGTCCACCAGGGATATGTCTCAGGCTGCACTGCCCTGGTTGTCTACAGGTTTACAGCCCCAGGCAGGTGGGTGGGTTACTGCATTTTTGACTCCTAGAGTCTTACACTCGCATAGCCATGTGGCCAGAGGAGTAAAGGCCACCAAGAGGCCTCCTCATCACTCAAGCAGATGTTATTAAGTGACCATTCTTTTTATTTTATGACACTAAGCTTTTGTCCATAAATTACAGATTGCGTTAGGAATTATAGCAAGGTGTCTAAATCAAAACTGGAACATAAGCTGTTGAGCCATTTTTTAAAACTTTAAATCAAGAACTCTATTTATACACATGTAATAATAATAATACTGCTCATTTATTATAGCTATTGTTCTATGTATCACATGATAATCTTCAAAAATAATTGTTAACATCCCCACTTTCTGTTGAGGAAACTGAGTTTAAAAAAAAAAACACAATACTTCTGGAAAATTCTGCCCCAAAGCCTGGCCCACGTCCCTGTACTACCGTCTGCCTACATACATCTTCTGAAATGTGTGACACTTGCCTCATCTGCAGACATGCAACATCTCCCGCAGGATGCACTTGACCTCAGGCAGGGTGGGAAGAACGGGGGAATGTTGAGAAGATGCCCCAGTGATGCCAAGGTGGCATCTTCAGACATGTGACCCCCAAAAATGTGACTTTGCTGTATGTTTTGATCACACCTTGTATTTATCTGTGTTTGACTTTACTGAGCCTTGGATTATTCGTGAGATCTAACATCTGCTTTGTGGTGCCCATTCCACCATTTTCAGACATGCAGTATCTGAAAGTGAGGGCTGCTCCTTGCAGTTCCCAGCCTGGGCTGCTCTTCCTGTGCAAGACCCAGAGCTCCAGCCCTGATGTCTACAGAGGGGGTGATCAGAAAATACGGTGACTATCATAAATTTTAAAAAATGTATCACAGTAAAAAACATATTGCCAAGGATGATGGGATATGTGTGTTCAAAGTGCGGGAAGGTGTTTGAATAATTTGAGGGAGGTTAATGCTGATAGATTTCTTCTTGTAATTTTTTTAAAAATTTAGACCTTCATTCTATGTTTTGATAACACCTTGTATTTGTCTGTGTTTGACTTTACTGAGCCTTGGACTGTTCTTGAGAAGCAGCATCTGCTCAATGCTTTGTGATGCCTGTTCATCTCTGGCCTGTCTGGTTACGAGCTTGGCTGTATTACATTTTTGTTATATTTTGTTCTCATGCCCCCTATCTGGAATTTGGAAGTTTCACCAGATTATGTCCAGGCATGATTCTCTCTTTTGCTCTTCAGGTTATTGTTAATCTTACACAGTGCTTACATTCTGGTCCCCAGATTGGTCTTTATTTAGTTAAAGAGCATTTTCTGTTTATTTTTCAAGTTTGAATCCTTATATCGTTTTCCCCTCTTGTTTTGGAAACCCTGAATATTTAGAAGTCAATATTCTCCTAGCATCCAATACTCTTGAATGTGTACTCCTTCGCTGTTTCATTCACGATTTTCATTTCACTGAATCTTCACTCTATGCTCTGAGAAAGTTGTTGTTAGTTCTAGTCAGCTTGTTCACGGACACTATGAAGAGAAACTTCAAGGCTGAAAGATAGCTTTAAGTTGTTGGCCCTTTGGCTTTTTTGTGCTAATTGTTTGGGGGTGCTTCACACTGGAAGGCAATAGGATCCCAAGCCCCTTGATGGGGAGATCATCTTGGTACAAGGACAGCTCCAGACTGATAGGCTCACCCAGGCAGCAATTTTCAGTCTGACCAATGCTGGGATGAAACCAGCTTCTAGGGGGAGGAGCAGAGTTGACAGTTTGGATTGAGTTTATCCTTCTTGGTTGTTTCCCAGAATTGCTTCTCTTTCCCATTAGAGTTCTGTTTGCAGACCCCCCAGGCTTGCCACCTGTTCTGGCTATTATAGCTCTTTGTTCCTGGATTGGCTTCCTCACAAGCCTGGGAGTTCCATCCACCTTTGTCTCTGTTTTAGTTTGTTTGTACTACCATAAGTCACCATGGTCTGGGTGGCTTAAACAACAGAAATTTACATTTATCACAATCCTAGAGGCTGGAAGGCTGAGACCAAGGTGACAGAAGGCTTGGTTTCTCCTAAGGCCTCTCTTTGGCTTGCAGATAGCCACCTTCTCGCCGTGTCCTCCTATGGCCTTTCCTCTGTGTGCACATCGCTGGTGTCTTCCTGTGTCCAAGTCTTCTCATAAAGACCCCTCTTAGATTGGATTCAAATTCACCCTAATGACCTCATTTTAACTTAGTCACCTCTTTAAATGTCTCCAAATACCGTCGTATTCTGAAGTAGTGGGGGTTAGGACTTCAAATTATGAGTTTTAGAGGAACATACTTTGGTTTATAACACACTCCTAGGGTTTAGTGAAGGCTTGGCTTATAATAGATGCTTGATAAATGTTAGTTGGGTGCCTGAATCAACCTCTCCCATTTTGTTCTCTGTGCCAATTCTGATTTTCAAGAAAACTGTGTTGCCTAGGGTGGTACCATTTTTTCTTAAGATAAATGAAAAGAACCCTCTTTACTATTCATTTTGTTCCTTAGCCAGTGATATATATATTTTTTTATAAACAATTCTATTGTAGTGTGAATATATGATCTTTTCTCTCCCTAGAGTATTCTTTTGTTGCACGATGAGGTAACAAATTCTATGCCTGAAGTCGAATTCAGCCCATAGTGTCTGTGACAAAGCCCCTGGATTTTTCACAGCAGCCCTATCTGTGTTGTCTATGGGAATCTGAAACATATTACTGCGTGCTGGACTTACCTTCCTTGGGAATTTGGCTCCTTTTAAATTTCTAAATGAATTTTCTTCATATCCTCATATTTATTTCTGTGCTCTACCTTAAGCTCTGACTAATTTGAATTTTTCCAAAAGCGTAGAGAAATGTACTATTCCAATTATGTCAGTTATTTATACTTGTTCTTTTAGTTTATAATAATGAAAAGATGGAACTAAAAATTTTCTCTTTGGTTATTTTATTCTTTGGCATTCTTCATTCCTGTACTTTTCTTTCAGACTCCTCATTGAATTTTTGATCTCTGAAACAGCCATTTGAAATAGCTATCCAGTGGTATATGTATCCACCGCAGAGTTTGTTGCCAAGCATACGAAATGAATGGAGTCCTTATTCAAATGTTGAATGTCTGCAGAGCACAGTCTATGTATAGAACTGAGACAGATCTGCACTAGGGTTCCATGATAGATTATCATCAAGATGATGGCTTCCAGTGGATTGAGAATTTCATTGAAATTAATACCTCACCAATGCTACCTAGTCAAAGAATATGATTCTCTTTTCTGCATAGTCTCAAGAGGCTATCAAAGCTCATGGCATCCTGACCATTCTGAAACACTTGCTGTGTAACCCACGCTTCCCTGGCTTGTGAGGGTGCCTTTCCATCTGCCAAAAACACTCTTCCTTGCCTGCTTACTGGGAAACTTTCCTGAGCCCAAACTAGCTTGGTTGTTCGCCAAGGGCTTTCAAAGATCCTAGCTGCTCCTCCTGAGCAGACAAAATACTGATTTGCAACTGACTGTTGATAATGTCTGTCCTTCCCTTGGCTAAGGATCTTTGCTGTGCCAGGGACCTATTTGGCCATTGATGAAGCCTGAAGATCTTATGTGAGAATCATGTTTTAAATGCATAAAATAAAACACACTGGGTTCTTCCGGTTTAGAGCAAAATGGAGAAGTGCATTCCACTCTCTCTCCCAGTGCACACTGCCATGCCAAGATGACACAGAATTCAAAATAGCTATTATAAAAATATAACAAGATACAATGTAAACATTCTGGAAATGAATGAAAGGATAAAATGTCTTAGAAAAGCCTAGGGATGTAGCTCAGTGGTAATATGCTCCCATACAGAATGCATGCAATAAAGGCTCTGAAAAGTCACTGTTAGATTGGTGAAGAAAATAGAATCTCAGGTCCTGCTGACCTGGTATTGTAATAAGTTACCATTTTTCTCTTTCAGAATTGCTTGGCCTAGATTCAACGCAACCCAAAATACAGAAGTGGACACTGGTGCAAACAGAGACATCCCTGGGAGAAATCTCATTCATTCATTCATTCATTCATTCATTCATTCATTCATTCATCTTCCCATTCTCTTTTTCCCTAGCCCCCAGGTAACACTCTGATGGAGCCTAAGATTCCCGGGGGAGGAGGAATCTTCCCTGTGATCAGGGGAACTGCAGGAGAGGGAGGGAAAAACCCTAATTCTTTTTCTCTCTGTCCTCCTACTAATTGTCCCATAATACAGATATACTTGTCGGAAGTATATAGCAGACCAGGCTAAGTAAAGCCCCTCCTTTCTGGCCATAGGACCAAAATGCCTAGCTCCTTGGGAACTAGAAATTGTCAGAGAGAAGGAAGGGCTAGGAAAAGAAACCCTAAAAAGTTGTTTATAAAGTTTTGGGCTCAATCGTGAGATGTACAAAAATAGACCTGACCTTAAATAGCACACCATTAATTTTGAGAACTGAACTACAAAACAAACTATTGCTTGGGGCCCAGACTGGACATGGGACACCATACTTGTACAAAAGGACAGACCTGAAGTCTTGGAAAATAGAACTGATATTGAAACCACAACTCATAGAAGACTGGTTGGAACTTGTGACCTGACCTCAAGCAGGTAACAAAGCAACATTCTCCAGACTTTAATGAGCTCTAGAGTCCTATAATCATCAAAATGTCCCAGGTACAATAAAAATTTCTCAGCACATATGAAGAACTGACAAATTTCATTGTGTACAGGAAAAGACAATAAAAACATCAATACCAAGATAATGCAGAATTCAAAATAGCTATTATAAAAATATTACAATATATAATGTAAACATTCTTCAAGTGAATGAAAGGATAAAATGTCTTAGAAAAGGCTAGGATGTAGCTCAGGGGTAGTATGCTTGTCTACCATATACAAAGCCCCAAGTCCCACTGCCTCTCCCATCACAAAAAAAGCATTAGAAAATAAATTAAAAATATGAAGAAGAACCAGGAGGAAATTTTAGAAACAAAGACTAATATAACAAATAAAAATCTCATTGGTTAGGCTTAATAGCAGAATTGAGATGGCAAAGAGTCAGTAAACATCAATAAAAATTATAAAATCTAAGCAATACCAAAAAAAGATTGCAAAATAAAGAACAGAGCTTCATGAACCTGTGAGGAGATAACAAAACAATCAACAGCTTTGTCAAAGGAGTCCTAGAAAGAAAGGAGAAAGAATCTGGTGTATAAGAAAATCTTAAGAAAGAATGACTATTCCCCAAATTTGGAGAAAAATATAAATCTGCAGATTTCAGAAAATTCCAAACAAAATCCATGCCCATGCATATTGTTACCAAACTGCAGAAAACTCAAGAAAAAATATTTAAAACAGCTAGAGAAAACACATAACTTCTAAGAGAATGTGATTGAAATTGCTACAGATTTTTCCAGAAGGAAAAACATTTTCAAAGTGCTGAAAGAAAAGAACTGTCAACCCATAAATCTACAGCTAGTAAAAATATCCTTCAGGAATAAAGAAGTGAAGCCATTTTCAAGTGAAGGACTACTAAGAGATTTCATTGTCATTAGCCTGCATTTTCTAGAAAGTAGGAATATCAGGAAGATATGAAGGAAGCCAACAAAATGGTAAACACCTGGGTAAATACCCTAGACTTTCTTCTTGAGTCCTTTAGAATATAATTGATGGTTGGAAGGAAGAGGTTTAATATTGTCTAGTGGGGGTTTTAATAGATGCAGCTGTAACAAGACAAGCACAACATAAAGGAACCTTCTATGTTGAAAACACACTACTTGAGAAGGTAAAATAGTGATTCTACACAGACTGTGAAAAGTTAAGTATGTATATTTTAATCCCTAAAATAAATACTTTAAAATTACACAAAGAGATATTTAGCAAAAAGACAAGAGATGAAATAGAAAAATAAAAACTATTCTAACCTAAAGAAGAAAAGAAAAGGGAAAATTCAAAAACTAAAAACAGAAAATAAATAATAAAATGGTAGACATAAATAAAAACAATAATTACATTAAATGTAAATGGACTAGATATACCAATTAAATGTACATATTACTATACATCAGTGATATATTTATCACTAATAAAAATATCACTAGTTAGGAGAAAGCTAATGTGGATATAAATAATAGTAGACAAAGTAGAGTCCAGAGCAAACAAAGTTTCCAGGGATTAAAATGGATAATATATAATGCTTTTCATTAAGAAGACATAATGAAGCCTGTTATGGTGGTGCATACCTGTAATCCCAGCACCCAGGAGCTGAGGCAAGAGGATTGCTGTAAATTTAAGGCCAAACTGGACTATTTAGCAAGACCCTGACTCAGAAAAGAAAAAGAGGAAGACACAACAATTCTAAATGTGTATGTACCAAACAACAGAATAGAAAATACATGACACAAAACCTAACAGAACTAAGAAATAGGGAAATCCACAATTACAGTTACAGATTTTAGTGTTCTCTCAGTAATCAACAGAGCTCAGTACACATAAAATCAGCAAGGGTATATAGTTTACAGAACCAAATAATACTATAAACAGCGGTTCTAATTAACATTTATAGAACACACCACTGAATAGCATCAGAATACACATTCTTCTCAAGTTCACATGGGATATTCATCACAATATATCGTATCCTGTGTCATAAGACAGATTTTTAACAAACTTAAAAGACTTCAAATGTTATAAAATATTTTCTCTGACCCTAATGAAATTAGACTAGAAATCAATAACAGATAAGAAAATTTCCATATCTTTGGAAATTAAACAACACATTTAAAAATAATTCATGGATAAAAGACCAAGTCTCACAGAAATTAGAAAGTATTTTCAAATGAATAAATATGAAATATATCAAAATTTGGAGAATGCTGGTAACAGTACTTACTGGGAAATGTATATAACTAAAATGCTCATATTGAAAAGAGAAAAATATCAAATCTTAAGAACTTAGAAAAATAAGAGCAAAACAAAACCGAAACAAGTAAAGAAAGGTAGTATTAAAAATAAAAGCATAACTCAACAAAATTGAAAATAATTTCAAAAGCAGAAAAATAAATCGAAATTTGATCTTTGAGAAATTTAATGAAATTGATGAACCTCTAACATGGCTGGCAATGAGAGAGAGAGAGAGAGAGAGAGAGAGAGAGAGAGAGAGAGAGAGAGAGAGAGGGAGAGAGAGAGACCACAAGTCACCAATACCAGGAATGAAAAGGGGTTATTGCTACAGATTCTGCTCATAAATTTCACAACTTAAATAAAACGGAAAAATTCTGCAAAAAACCCCTACAAATTATCAAAACATCCAAAATAGCACGTAGATAACTGGAGTAGCCCTATTACTGTTCTAAAAACTGAATTTACAATTTAAAACCCTCTATAAAAAGAATTTCCAAGCTCAGGTTCTAGCACTCAGGATACAGCATGTGCTACCAAATATTTAAAAGAGAAATACAATGTACTCTATATAATCTTTTCCAAGAAACAGAAGAGGAGGGTTTACTTCTCAAATTATTTTATAAGATACCAAAACCAGAGAAAGATGGTGCAATCCTTGTAGAGGATAATATTCCTCATGAACACACTGAAAAAGTCCTCAGCAAAATATTAGCAAATATTCAGCAGTACATAAACATATCAAGAGACGTTCAACATTATCAACCATTAGAGAATTACAAATCAAAACCCTGATAAGATACAGCCACATATATATTAGAATAGTGAAAGCAAAAATGCTGACAATGTCAAGTATTCACAATAATGGAAAGCAATATGAGCTCTGATACATTGCCAGTGGGAATGCAAAATTGCACAGGCACTCTGAAAAACCACTTGGCAGTTTCTTATAAAGCTAAACACACACTTAACATATGACCCAGCAATCCCCAGTGAACTGAAAACTTATGTTCACACAATCTGCGCATGAATGTTTAGAGCAGCTCTGCTCAGAATCACCAACAACTGGAAACACCCCAACTATCCTTCAGTGAATGAATGGGTAAATAAACTGTGCTACATTCCTACAATGGCATACTACTCAATTAGCAACAGAAAGGGATGAATCATTGACACACAACAACTTGATGAATCTCAAAGGTATTGTGCTGAGTGAAAGAAGCCAACAGCAAAAACTTTCCATACTGCATAATTCCATTTATATGAAATTCTCAAAAAGAGAAAACTAGTGATAAGGAATAAATCAATGATTTCCGGAAGTAAGAAGCTAGTGAAGACACTTGTAATTTTTTTTATTCAAATGTATGGGCCCTTGAGTTCTAATTACTAACCCCTTGAAGGGAGGGGATATGGCCCCAGGTTAAAACTGTATAGGAACCGTGTCTTCTTTGTTCAGTCTCCTATGCCCCACACCTAGTAGGGTAGACTGATATATAGTAGGTACTGAGTTATTTGGCGGGGAAAAAAGAATAAATGAATGAACAACTGGGAGAGATTTTAGCATATAACTGTTCATTGAAAGACTGTGAGAAAAATGTGTACATTTTGTTAACCCAACAGGCAATCATTGTTGTGACTGAGTGGGACTCTCTCAAATGACTCTCCTTTTTAAAAACATTATTTTATTAGTACGTATTTGCAGTGCACGTGGTTTACAATCATCTTGGGGAATGATTACAGGCACATACTACAGCTTATATTTTGTTCGTTTGTTTGTTTAAATCCCCTTCCCCTTCCCTTCCCTCTCCCTCCCTCTTCCTCCAGTAAATACATGAAAAATGTTCAACATCTCTGGCCATTACAGAAATGCAAATTGAAACAATCCTAAGATTCCATGTTACTCCAGAAAGAACAGCAATCATTAAGAAATAAAACAATAGCAAATGCTGGTGTGGCTGTGGTGAAAAAGGACCTAGGGAAGAGGAAAAAGGGAACAATGGTGAGGAGAAGGAGAGAGAGGGGAAATAAGAACAAAGATCTGCCATGCACAGGAGCTCCCCAACTCAATCCATGTAAACATATGCCACAGCATGAACTAGGATTCATATCAGCAAGAATCAAGTGACTCTTAACTGCACTTTTCTGCTTTGGGTACCCCCAAGTCGTATCTTGTGTTGGGGTACTGCAGTGTTTCTGAGCATTTCTCTGGCTTTCATCCTCTGTAAACTGTTACAGGGAAGCAACTCCCAACCTGTTGGATGTGCTCAGTTCATGTCTCACACAGCCAAAGAACGGACTTGACCAAGGATGTGAAGTGCAGGAAAATTTTGTTAAGAGAAAGCTCCTGAGAGGAGGGAGGGGTCCCGAAAGTGGGCTGCTGCTGAGGCTCTTTATCTAGGGACAAAGTAAAAGCACATCACGGGTTACCTTGGGTCAAACTACAGTCTACAGGGTTACAAGTATAGTCGCTTAGCTGATAGTGATCGAATAGAAAAAGAGTTCATAGCAAGGGAACAGAGCATAGAGAAGACAAAGGTATTTCCAGAAGGGGTAGGAGTGAGGGTCAAGTGTTCCGGTCATCTATCTACGTGCTTGTTGTGTTGTTTCTACATGTTTGTCATGTTGTTTAGTTTTATCGGACCCCGTGGTGCTAGTTACAGTTCAGCTTTGGACTGTTTATCTCTGGGGAGGCTCGCAGGCCTAGCCATTGTGTCTGCATCTCGGAGCCTGATCTCTGTTAACTCAGCCCTCCACCACAGGCCTGGTTTGCCTCACCCCTGTCATGAATCTGTGTTGGGCCTGGCCCTGTTCTGACTGCCTATCAATCTGTACTTAATTTAGCTATCTGCAATCAAGGGAACACAATTAAATGCACATGTCATTTTGTCTCCAGACTTCGACAGCTATTGTCACCAGAGGTGGTAGATGACTGCCAGTGAAGTGCACATGGGAGTTAGGGTTCAGATTTGTTAGGCTCTGCATGGCAGGACTTGGTAGGGGAGGTGCCAATAGTGGGATCCCCTCGATGGGCATCTTTCAAGCTTAGCAGGGAGTGTTGGTACAAGGGGAAGAACCAGGGCCACTCGACAAGGTACATTCTAGAAGAGGGCACCAAGGGAAAATTTACAGGGACTTGAAAACAGAAGTTGTTATTAGAACCAGAAGACTTTTCTCATCCCCAGCCAGGAGCAGAAGCCGGCAGAGAGCTCAGTCACCAGAAGGTTCTGGAAAAGTTATACCAACTGAGTGAGTTGCTATTCTTTACTTATCCTGCCATGAATCAGTAGTCTTTTTGATGGTCTCTGGGAAGGCTTTTTCATAGATGGAAATAAAAGACTGGGAGAGACTGATTTCTAAGTTTAAGCCAAGTTTAAGACACCCTTGATGGTCAGGCTAACCATTATTTTATATGAACCGTCGATCACTTTAGAGTCCTTCTAAATTCAGCGTCCCCCCTTCTGAAGGGCTTTGCAAGAAGGCAGCTATCTCAGCAACAGAAAGTAATACAGCTTGCTGGGCTCGTGGGTGTCTTCTATGGAGTTTCAAATGCACTTGGTTGTTCCTTTGGAAGAAAGTGTGGGCTCAGGGCCATTCCCTTCAGACAAACATTCTTCACTAGTATCTCATTTACATCTTGCTGCTTGACTTCTGTGTTTCCTAGTACAACGTAGCCTGTTGCTTCAAGGCTGAATTACAGTGGCACAGACATTGTCACAGCCCTCGGGTGAAACCCCCAAATGCACTTATCTTGACTGACGTGAGGGCATGTGAACGGCCGTGAACAGCATCAAAGGTGATGATGTCATCACTGACAGTTGGCTGGTGGCTTCTGAAGGACACTATGGCTTAGGACACATCGAGATTTCAGAGATGTTCAGCTGTGAAAGCCATGCGTCTTAGAACCAGTAGAATACAATGATTCTCTTGGCTTATGTAACCAGGGACAGAGTTCTGCACCTAGGACATGTTTCTTAAACATCTTATTT